TCTGTTTATATATATATATATATATATATATATATATATATATATATATATATATATATGTGTGTGTGTGTGTGTGTGTGTGTGTGTGTGGTGGCCATGTTGGATTTTGACGTGGCGACCCAATTTTCAATAGTGACCTTTTTTCCATCTAGTTACGTTTAGATGCAGCCACAAACCAAACTGGAAGTTGGCACATTGCATATTTTTTCAAGTTAAGTTCCCAAGGTTTACATATATACATATATGGCGGCAGCCATTTTGGATTTTGACATGGCATCCCCCTCTGAACTGTTCAGTACTGTACCTCGTCAGACTTGGCCCGTTCGATCTTGGATTTAAAGTCCTCGACGGTCTGATGCAGTCCTCTATGGCTGCCCAGCTGGGACTCCACCGAGGGCAGATCCGATCCCCACTCTGCCTTATCAAGGCGTTGCTGGTTGTCTTCCACCCAGGCAAGAAGATCTTCAACATAACGCAGGGTCACGCCATCCATCTCCGGCCTCACCTTCATGCTTGACTGCAAGGTGGAGGTAAGTGGAACCTGAGCCATCGTTACGGCAGACTTCAGCCGGAGGTTGTAATCACTGCGCAGGCTCACGAGGCGTTCATGGAGGCGGAAAACCCTGTGGAGATCAAAAATCCAACCAGCTGTTGGTGAGCACCAAGCTTTTTTCTCAGGATTTGTTAAAATGTTAACATTATCGCCTTGGTGACCAAACTATGCGAGTCCGTTTGAATGCAGCGCAGAAGGCCCCCCACCTGCGGTACATCTGTTCAGCCTGAGGGTGGCGCCCATCCTTGAGGATCTGCACGTCGTTGAAGAGCAGGCGAATCATGTTGTCTGCCTTGTCCAGCTCCCTGTCCACCTCTGCAGTGTGCTGAGCTGGTTTCCCCGCATTCAGCAGAGCAATGTCCTGAGCGAGAAACACGACAGCAGCATTAACTTTCAGACTTTTTAATGGAAAGAAAAACTGATCAAAGATTACAGTGGATGACATCTACACATATCTTAATTTTTAAGAGAATGTCAAATAATGTTTTAAATGTTTATAGAACAATATAACTTGGACATGACAATAGTCACAGGTTATTTTGTATTCACTGGCTGGATTTTTTATTCATTAGGTGCACACACAGGGTAAATATACGTATGTATATAAAAATGATTTACCTTCTGCAGCAGGGTCTCCAGCTGAGTGAACTGAACGTCACACACCTCCGACTCCATATGGATTTTGGTAAACACCCGTTGGAGCCGTTCAAGTCTGGATGACACAAAATGTATTGGAATAAATCAAGACGTATGGAACAAAGTCTTATATAGTAATAAATGTTGATCTACAACCATCTTTGGCATTACTTGGACTGAAAACAGTCAAATAACACAAAGTCAAAGCTAACATGCCAGACATAACACTTACAGAAAATATTTCATTTTATTTGGATCACTGCGTTAAAACTCTAAATGAAACTAATCTGCCTGTATTGTGTCTCTGTCCATTCAATCAGATTGATCTTATCAGTGAAAACAGTTATCTCACTGTGTTAAAATTAAAAAAAGCAGTTTTCACTCAAATATAGTACATCAAATTTAATTGGCAAATATTACTGTGATTTGGTAATTTCCTCAAGAACAGAACCTCAGTAGCAATGTAGCAAGTTTAATAAAGTAAAAAGCCATGGTTAGTGATGTAATTTCTCCCAGCACTGCTTTAGATCCAAATACCAGATGGAGAGGCTTTTTGTCCCCTTTTATCTTGTCTTCTATAAAGAACTACTGTTAATATCGCTGCCCACCATGGAAGGCATGTTTGTCTTTTACTAAAAAGTCTCATGAACCATTGAACAGATATTAATGATATTCTTAGAAAGGTATCATAAGATGAACATCTACAACCCTATTCAAGATGGCCACCAACTTATCGACCCTGACAAACATAAGAATGGCTAAATGGATAAGATTTCTTCAGATACTGAGCTAAACTTTGGAGTGGTAGTAAGTGAGAGTGACCCCCAACACATTATTTTTTTAATTACTCAACTATTCCAGAAAAGTGTGACATTTGAATTGAAATTAATGTAATTTCCAGATTTACTATTGAGCACACCTGAATATAAGCCACGCCCACTAAAAATAAACAAATAAATAAATGTGTACACATATAGGCCGCACTTGTCTATAAGCCACAGGTGTCCACGTTGTAACATGAGATATTTACACCGAAAGAAATAAAACTTTTAATTAAACACATACCGGTAACATACACAAATACATACAGTAAAAGTTGTTGTTTTTTTAATAGTGCCTGTAACATGACTGGTGAAAAAAATAAATACAGGAGCACCATTGATCCCTATCTTCTATCAAGGATGTTGGACAGCTTGTGCTGTCCTCCATAAAAATGTCCTCCATTTTTATATGTTTTAAATTTATACAGGTAATCTCATTGAGTCTCAAGGACCCATCCCTTAAGACAGATGTGTATTGGGCAGCTATGTGAGCACCCGAGTGTGACGAAGCTAAATGTTTTGGTGGCATGAAGCTTGTTAGCCTGTCAAAAAAAATAAAATCCATAGCTGCAGCACTGTATAAGCCGCAGGGTTCAAAGCGTGCAAAAAAAGTAGCGGTTTATAGTCCGGAAATTACGGTACTACAAGTATTTAAGTATAGCTGTCTGCTGTATATGTTTTGTATTAATTTGTTCCTGATAACATTTGCTTATTTTCTGAATTCCTCTGAATCGGTGAACTGGAAACAGCTCAGAGCATCTTCAGTGTCGTCTCTTAATCTGGTGTCTGATTTATCTCTGCGCTGCTCTGACTTGTTAACACTACATTCTTTGCCAAGGGGAGAGCAGATATAAATGATTCAGAGACAGTAAGTACTTCCGTATGTCCTTCCACATGTTCCCCTGTCCTGACCTGTCAAACTCAATCCTGAGCAGTCGCTCTCTCTCGAGGATGGCCACGTGGAGTCGACCCCAGTCCTTCTCCACATCGATGGGATGGTAGCCTGGGGGGACCTTCACCTGTCCGGCATGCACTGCACTCTGTGGACATTTGGAGGTTTACCGACTTTATTAATCATTCATAAACAAGCAACTGTGTTTTTAAAAGCACAAAAATCAAATTCAGGATTAGCTTGCCTCAAACGTCTGGTAGATTTGTTTGGAGTAATTCTTGTTCGTCTCTTTCTCTGGCAGCTCCGTTTCCTTGAACTTCAAGAACTGACGCCAGATCAGCTGAATACAAAAACACACAGAAGATGTGTACTCTGACAATTTACTCCTTCTTCATTCTGTCTATCAACATTTGCTTCTTTTATCCAATGCTTTTTTTTTATTGTGGTTGCAAAAAATGCTATAGCAAATCTGTGAGTTTACAACATGTATACCCACACCACTCTATTGCAAATGTGAGTTTTGAACTTCCCCAGAAGAAAAAGTTAAATCAGAGCAACACAATGGACGATAATATTAATAATAACAGCCTTTATTTTATTAGTCAATTAAGAACCAGTTCTCATTTGCAATGACGACCTGGACAAGAGGCAACACCCAGACAGATATTAAAGACTTCTCATGAACAGAAGGCTGATGTGCACCCTCTCCTCTGAGGACTGACCTCAGCAGCACATGTTCCCATGACTGGTGTTCAGTCAAATTCAATCAAGCCAATAATAGACTCACATCTTTTCACTGCCATGAGAAGCAAAACAAAGTCAAGAGCGGAACATTTAAGTGTTTTATGAAGAGCCCTCTGAAACTCACGTCTTTGGACGATACTTGTCTCTTAACGATTTGACTTTGAGAGTTAGGTCAACATATCTGATTCATGCTACAGTACAGGCAGACAGTGGTGAATAAAGTGATGTATCTCCAGGATTAAATCAAAAGGTTCATCTGTGGTTTCTCAACACTGGCACCACCCAACCTACATTACAACAATACCTTTGAATACACTTTCTTTTATCAACCCTCAGACAGACTGCATGAAAGAATGTTCATTGACCCAACAATGAAAGGACAACAAAAACACCATCTCCCTATTCAAATGTATAATACATAGCTTTATTTAGAGGACATGAAAGACATGAAAAACTACCTTCAACAAAATGTCTGGCCTGGAGGCGCAACAACTTTATATTTTTGCTTTTAGGCTCACCTCTATCTCCTCGTAACTGCTAGGGAACCTTCGCTCTTCAAAGATGGTGACATGGTGGCGGATCCACTGGAGCAGAATGGTCACCAGTTCGTAGTATTCCTGCCAACGCAGCTCCAGCTCCTGCAGCCAAGGGAGCAGAGACTCATGAGAGTTTGGCAACAACAAACAGGGCTCTCATTCTCTGGCATCTCTGTTTTCATCAGTTATGTCCTGAATTCAATTAGGTGGCAACAATCCACAAGTTGTGTTGAAGAAGAGGACGGGTGAACATGGAGACAATGGTGAAACACGGAGGGCAGCATATTTTTCAAGGCTTTTGCAGGCCTTCCTGTTTCCTTCTGTGGAAAAGCTATAAATAATTAATTTCTTACCTGTTATCGATAGCGCTTTGAACAACCTCAGTTTAAAGAAACAAAGATTAAGCCCATCAAAACAGTTGAGCTAAAATAAAATGTAACAAGTTTGATATGACATGCTTTTTTATACATGCACAAATAGCGGTAGCATTTAGCTGTGGTGCTAACAACAATATCCAATTATTTCTGTTGGAATGACCATATGATGTGAACCTTGGTAGCTATATAAAAGTTTATAAAATAATGTTAGTTTGAACAGCTTGAGTTGTTTTATGAAGGCAACATTTACTTTGGAAGTGGCTCCACTTGTCAGAACAGTCTGAGCAGAAGAGATTAACTGATCTTGCAGGAAGTGCCTCAGGCTGCTCTGGAAATTATACAGCTAGCTGTAACCACCATTAGCATGTGCCACTACCGAATTATTTGTAAAGAATTGGCTAGTGTTACATTACTGTCAATGTAAACAAGTATAAAATATGTGCTCACACGAAGTACTATACAAGTTTGGGGGATGGACTCAGTTTTAGAGTGGCGGAAATCCTCTTTGGTCTTCGGTTTAGCCGTTAGCTTATCAAACCTGTTGGCTTTTAACTTTGTTTCTTCAAACTGTTTAAAGAGCTACCTACAGTAAATATGAACTTTTCCACATAAACTTGCTTCAACTTTCAGGCTTTGAATTCGGTTAGGACAAAAAGAGTATCACTTTATATGGAATCGTGTTTGGTATCTCTGTCATGCAAGTAAGGTTAAGATACTTTTTGATGTAAAGCAGTCAACAGCTCTGAGACTGAAAGCTCAGCTCAACGTAGAATCCAAAGCTGTCTGCTTTTAAATAAACAGTACCAATCGTTCTAATAAATCAGTTTGCTTACATTTGCTCTGAGACCATCATGGACATCAACACGAGGCATAACATCATATAAGGATGACACGTAGGTGATGATTGACTTTTCATCAGGGTGCGGGACATCAACATCTGAAAGGATCAAATAAAATAGTGTTCATGGTGTCACCTTAAACACCAAGTGCTTGTGGTTCTGTTTATAGACATTGCCCCGTCCTACCTTCTGGATCCAGGAGTCGGGTAACTCCCAGGTCTCTCTCAGCCACATTAAAGGCCTGTTCGAGGTTCTCGTGGTTGGTCTGTTGGTACACTTTACCCATGTCAATGAGTCTGGGACTATCAAACACAAAATATAATAGATCACAAACAGGGTATTGTAGATAGGAGCAATAGCATTTGAAGTAAAACAGATGAACAGCTTTGCACATTAAATGTTTCCAATTTTTCAAAAGAAAACATTAATAATGTTTTAAAAAAACTTTGGTAATTGAGCGCAACTAAAATCATGTCGTCTTTTAGCAGCTACAACACCACAGTAGAAAGGAACATACCATTAGTGTGTTCTTTGCATTTACAAATGACAAGGCATCACGCTAAAACCACAAATTAATGCGTTGGCAGAACTAATGCAGCTCATCAACCCTCATACTTCATGCGTATGACAGCAGCAGAAGTTTGAAGATTTTTCTGCCAGTGGCTAAATGCTGTAAAGGAGCCCACCTGTTCACTTTCAGAGAAAACCCATGTGATCACCTGCCTTTTTGTCCTCTGGGTGTTTGACTCTTCCTGGCACATGTCAGAGCCTCTATAAGTGGAATGTAATTTACTGAGCAGCCAACAGAATTGAAGCTGACACATTTTAAGTCAGCGACCAGCCACGGCTTGACTCCAACAAGAGACAAAAGTTCACGTCTCTAGAACAGAACGACTGAGTGCATCACATAACCTCATCCCATTCATTACTCTCCCAAAACTCTTACACTACTTTAAATGACAATTTTGTATTATCTGCAGTAATCATTCTAGCATTAGATAGTAATTGCAGTGTAGACTCTTACAGATCTTGGATACGTAGAGTGGAATAACCAGGAGTATGTCCATACACAGGAGAAGGTACCACATGGCGGACTTCCCTAACAGAGTACTGTTTTCTTGGTCTTGAGCCGCTCATGGCATGGAGCTCTCTTCCATTAAAACTACGAGACCTCCATCCATGACCTGGTTCTTCGCTGATAGAGTGGGCCCCAGAACTCTGAGAACCGCGGCCTGAGTCAAAGGAGGATGCCTCAGATGGGATGTCCTCACACAGCATGACCACGCGGTCATCGGCATCACCGATGGACGATGATGCACCACGGATAAAACCTTGGCTTCCCTTCCTTTGTTTAGACTTCCTTTTTATACTGAGCATTTTAATATGTGCAGGATGGTCCTCAGTGAGTAGAGCCTGTTGAAGCAGTTCTAGTCACAAGTACATTGTATTCAATCAAATGCCTTCATGACAGGATGATCACAGCACATAAATCCATCCTGGTGTTGCTTCAGAAACCCTGCATCTCCTCTGGAACCGTCTGCTGGATGGACAAGATGAAAAGAAAAATCTCAAAGCAGCACAGACTTCCTGCTCATTGATCCACGTTGTACAAAGTTTAAAATTCAGCTGAGGGTTTTTTTTCCCAATCCTGGTCAGAGACTGGCACATAAAGTCCCAAAAATATTGAATTCCCCAAATGAGAACGTATCCTGCTCCAGTTTGTCCTGACTTATGCCTCGAAACAAAATAGCGCCACAGTTTTCATGCAGCAGACTCGGATCTACAGTTCCGCCCACCGACACCACACCCCTGACCTTTATGAAACGTAGCATTGAGACGGCCTCAAGAGTCTCGAAAAAAGGTTTCAGGTAGAGCTTCCTGTTTGACAAAACCTGTCCCTGCAGGTATGGTTTTCTTTTATATCATAGCAGCTTGAAAGACACGCAAACTTTTCTCTAATCCTTCTTTTCTCCTATTTGCATTGGATTTTACATTAACACCACTTTTCAAAAACTAACCACTCATTATGCAGACTGACAAAGCTTCCTGAGAAATGCATGTACACTCACCTCCCAGGATGCTCACACACAAAACAAAATCCAAACACTAAGTGTGGTACAAAGACACACAACAACCAGGACTATCAGCATATTTATACTATAGCAAGATGGATTTAATTGGCCATTACTAGATTTCAGATATGTCATTCTGCATTTTAAATTCAAGATTGCCAACAAAATAGCAAAAACAGCACAAAGTTGCCATGGTTACCAACATAAAAGGCATCTGTTAGCATTGATTTAAGAGCAGTATTAACATGAATACAATTAAAGGCCATTACTAGAAACTTGGTCACAATAAAAAAATAAAATAAAGTAGAACAAATTATTTATTTTTTTTACCCTGAAGTAAAAACAACATTTGGATTTAAATCTTAGTATATTAGAGCAAGTGTGCAATATTTGAGGGTTATCCATTTAATAAAGCTATATGACACAACTTGGGCTCATCTACACGACTCCAGATATGTTACCAAATACTGTTTTGTCAATTTACAATAAAAAAAATACATTTCTATGCTATTGTTTAAAAAAATTCTCAGAAAAACTCACATTTTGTAAATTAACAACATATCAAAATGGAGCCGAATAACACGTCTTTCTAACCTTTTTTTAAATTTTATATATACAATTTACAATTTCCTTTCAGTAATTAACTATTTCCATCCATCCATCCATTTTCTTTACCCGCTTCTTCCAGTTTGGGTCACGGGGGTCACTGGTGCCCATGTCCAGCAATCACTGTGCGAGGGGCGGGGTACACCCTGGATGGGTCGCAAGTCCATCAATTAACTATTTTTTTACACACAATCATAGTTTCTTGGCAACGGGATCAGAACAAAGCCAGACAAACATATAAATAATATTAAAAACAGCTCTATAGTTGTTTTAGTTTCTGAAGTCACCATTTCTGAAAGGCTCTGTATGCTGAGGCCACACAGAAACAGCAAAAACAAATAATAAAAAAAGCTCCATCTGTACGTGAACAAGACATGCAAAAGCACCAAAAAAAAAAATCTATATTTATAAAATATCCAGTAGACAGGCCTAAGTCTTGCTCCTTTTCAAACACATTTGTCATAAAAAAAATAAATAACAAAAGCATCAGGTCATGGTTGTCATGTATAAAATTACGCAGGCAGAAGACCTTTTTTTTTTCCAAGACTGAGATCAAATTTTAATTAAAAAGCAGGTTTAAACTAGTAGCACGACATAACCAACATAACATGTGTAATTTGACATCTGAATGCATTCCAAGCTCCCACTCCCTGGACTCAGTTTTACACTAAACTTAAGAATGGACAACACTCTGCACAAAAATGTGACGAGGATCTGTGAAAGTGCCATTAGGCACTTATTTAAGCTCTATAAAAAAGAAGGAGGGAGCCTGCTACAGTGAACTGTACCAAAGCTTTCATCACTTTTTATTTGAATACATAGGAGTGAAACATTCCCCTCACTTACTAGTGCTTGTGTATGACAGCGTTGAAGAGTTTGCCGTCCCTCCAGCTGGTGGTGAAGTTGTCGCAGCGGATGCCCTGGTAGCCGTCTGTCATCCGCTGAGACCACAGCAGCAGCTTCTCTTTGGCCGTCATGTCCTCTGACTGCCCGTTGACCTGAATATCTGAGATCTGAGGCAACGCAGGCACAAAGATTGGCAACTTAGTAAAAGCCAGAGCATTTGTAGGTACTGTATGACAGAAAAATTTAGTCATTAGTGGAAACCAAAAGATGACATTAAATGGAATTACGTCACCACCACAAACGTTTTTCTTTTAAGATTAGTTACTTTTGCTTTAGATATTTCTTGATTCGTTTACGTTTTTAAATTTGTGTTTATATATTTCTTAGATTCTGCAAGCTGAATTACAAGATTAGAGGATACATGAAGATAAATGCCTACTCTGGTCTAAAATAAGGAATGCAGAACCTCTGGCTTCCAGATGAGTTTACATTTGAGGATAATTAGCCCGTGGGATTTAGCTCATCATTATATGATTAGAGGGATATCTTATCCCATTAACCTTTGATATTGAGCCTTTATGACTCACCCGCCACCATAGCCCAGCTGTCTCATTTTATTCTCTATTGTATAAAAGTATAAAGACGCCATATCTACAGGGCACATCGGTGTTTACTGGATAATCTCATAAGCACGGGCCATGCTTTGCTTCACTGTTTTGGAATCTAAGGCCAAACTGTTGGTTTTATTGCTGCTGAGACCGTCAGGCTGACGTCCAGGTATTCCTGCCCGGCAGCTCTTGGCACACAAAAGCATGAAAATGCCAAAGATTGAGGTGCGATGCCAACATGTTGGATACTCCACAGGACACACCCTTCCCTTGGGAAAGAGTGACTCACTCCAACGCTCCCTGTTGGTGTGTTGCTCCTTTTCCCCGATCCAATGTAGCTAATGCAACGACTGTGATGTTAGTGCGTTATTCTGAGAATGTGTTTAGAATGAGCACGTTGTAATTAGACCACGGCTTTAGAGAGGAGATGTGAAGAGCCCAGTCCACTCTGATTGGTTCCAGTGAGATGAGGAAACAGCAGCTGTGATCCCAGAGACAGAGGATGAGAGTAATAAAATAATGGAACACAACACTGACAGAGGAGGAGACCTGGAAGTGGAGGATGATGGTCCATATTAACCCCAGGGTCAACTTGGGGTTACCATCAGCTATGTCATCGTTTCTGATGTTAACCAGCTTGACCTGAGGAAGAACAACACCGTGACTCTCGGAACCATCAAAATAAATTACTTCAGCTGAATAATTAATCTGAGCATCGTACCTGCCGATGTTTGAGGAAGTCCAGTGCTATCTGTACGTTCTGCAGTTTGTGGAAGCGCATCCGGCCTTTCTCTCGTGGCTGAGGGGGAGAAGAGGAAGCATTAGTTTGGGCTCTCGGTATAGTACTGGTATCAGAGATGGTCTGTTTGCTATACTGGTAGAAGAACAACAAATACAATGAGTAAATGGGGAAAAAAGACAAAAAAACTAAAAAAAACAACAGATATTTTTGCAAATATAAAAGAAGGAATATTGACAAAATCTCACAACTTTCTGATCCTATATGTAACTATCAATATTCAACAAAAGGAAAAAGATTAAATTAGAGGAACAATTACATACTAGAGATAATGTGTTATAAAAATAATCATATAGTCCCATTTACATACTGTACTTGGAAACATTTTAAAAACCACTTGCTTTTCTCTGTCCCATCCCAACTAGTCTATAGATCTTCCAAAAACAATTGTAACTTTTCTTTTCGTAAATATAGTTTACATTTTCCTTTTAGTTTGTAACCTTTTAGCACCTGATAAAAGATTAATAGCACCAGGATGTAAATAAAAAGAGACTGTTTCGGTTTCTACAGCACAAAGTGCACACGACGTGAAACACCACGGTTTCTGAAGAGCTCAGTATTCTGAGTCCAATAAATAGACACAAATAAAGTTTAAAATCACCTCTATTTGGGACAGAATTTATTTTAGAAAAACTGAGTGTGGAGTGGTGCAAACAGAAAAGCTGTTTTAACGAATTTTCGGAGAACTGTAAATAAGTTCTTATTATTTTAATGAGGTTTTGTTCACTAGTGCCAGATGATGCTTGGTTCCCTTTTTAAATAAATACCGTAATTTCCAGACTATAAGCTGCAACTTTTTCCACAGGCTTTGAACCCCGCAGCTAATACAATGTTGTGGTTAATTTATGTTAACGTGCTAACAAGCTTCATGCCACCAAAACATTTAGCCTCGTCACACCCGGGGGTGGGGCGTCTTTGTAACTCAATGAGACTACATGTATAAATAAAGTTGTTGTTTTTTTAAATTTGATCAATGAAATTATCAAACAAGTCACAGTGGACCTATGAAACCTTTGTTGTTGTTGTTTTTTTTATTCAGTGGGCGTGGCTTATATTCAGGTGCACTCAGTAGTCCAGAAATTATGATTTATATATATAATATATTAATGAATGCTACTGTAAGTGCAATATATAATAATACAGTAAAGTAGTGTTGAACAGATGCCCTAAACAG